CTGCAATGTTAGAAAAATGGTGTCCTGCTTCATGAATAATGTTGTGATTCTTCCCCACCCTTGTGATATGTGCAAAGCAAGATTAACTGCATTGGCAATATTTGTGTCAGGATCATACTGATTAATTTAATATTCTGATTGGATGAGCAGCAAAGCTGTAATGGCTGTTACTTTCTCTGGCAAGAGGCTCAGATAAGGTGATAATGAGATTAACTTCGGAGGACCTGATTTGCATTGTGTTGTATTTAATTACAACTTTGACACCACATCGTATGCATTACAGATCGGGCAGATAGGTCACTGTTTATCCGTTACTTGTAGAAGCGATCATATTAGTTTGAATTTGCAAAGGTATTTTTTAAGGACACACTATGGCAGTCTATGCTGAATATCACAGAATACACCCATGCACCCCCAAGGAGACAATCCACAGTTCCACAATTATATACACAGTTCCCTTGTAATGATTGAGAACTGCTCATGAACCCCTTGTGCCCCTCCCATTCATTTCAATGGAACTTGCATGAGACATTTAAACTAGGAGAGTCAATCAAAGGTAACTTGTCATTTATTGGCAAAAACATCACAAGATCATAAGCAAATATCAAATTGCAAGTACCAGGATTATTGATACCTAAGCAATTAGTAACATGCACTTTATGACCAAACTCCATTTCCCAGTTTCCATCACAGTGGAAATCTGCCATGAGATTCAAATGAATATAGTGAATATATTGAGCTTATCAATAGACACAAAGTCCCAACCTAAGCATGATCTCAACCACCTGACCTCTTAAATGCCTAGCCCATAATCTCCCTGCTTCCAAGGTTTCTCTTTTTCTAGAAAAATAGCACTGCCTGCTTCCAAAACTCTGCTTTGTGTCTACTGCCTATTCTGTTCCCCTTTCCCTTGGGATCAGTGGTCTTCAACCCTTTGTGTTGCACTTCTTTCTTTAAGATCTTTGCCTTCACTAACCTGTCTTCTCTTGTGTCTCTGCTTTTCAGCCTAGCGTCTCTCTTCCTCCAGCCTGTCTGTCTCTAGACCATTAGCAGCTGTATTCTGAGGTGCTTGTCAGCGCAGTCTTTAGCATATGCACCACGGGGGTGCAAAGATCCGCCCTGCGCCCCCAAATTTAGTTTAGCCCCCAAATTAACTTTTATTATGCTTATGTCAGACACCACGCTTACACCTTATCTCTAGTTTACAAAAGAAGGGAGGAAAAAGAAACAAACTTTTTTATTTGCTCATTTATTTACAATACACTTATACTTAAGTATACAACACCACCACACTTAAACTTATAAGTATTGTTTAGGCACCTACTTAGGAGAAATATCAGTCGTGTCAAAGGTGCCGCTGACCCCGCTGCTGCATATAATATAATACGTAACATAATATTTTGATGTAAGAGTTAATTTCGCGTGCACGGCACCGTTGTGAATGACAAGCGCCGCCGTTGAGTCAAGCACCACCGTTGTAAATGACAGCACCGCCGCTGGTGCGGCACCTCTTTGGTAAATGAGCGCACAAAGTCAAAAGTCTTTTAGTGAAACAGTAGGTATACATTTCGGTAATACCTAAGTACTGTATTTTCTGGCATATAAGACTACTTTTTAACCCAGGAAAATGTTTTCAAAAGTCGGGGTCATCTTATACGCCGGCTACAGCAGCAGCTCCTGCAGCAACTCCCCACCAAAGGATAAAACGACAGCAAATTAAATCAGAGGACACCAAGCTCTCTAGATGAAGCAGAAATACGCTTGAAAATTGGCCCCAGAAGCTCCCAGCCACTGGGAAGTGGTGCGGATTTTCAAGCTGGACTGGAGACTGGTTTTTTAAATTTTTATTTGATGTGCATTGGAAGAGGGGTAGTCTTATACGGTGAGTACATCCTAAACTCTATATTTTAACTGGAAAAGTTGGGAGGTCGTCTTATACACCCAGTCGTCTTATATGCCGGAAAATACGGTATATATGTATTTTGTTTTTCTAGCTTGATTAAAATTATTTATCATTTCATAACAGGTAGATAGTTAAGAGCTTATGTGGCTTCAGGGGTGGACGCCTGGCACCCCCCAGAATTCAGTGCCTGGGTGCCCCACACCCCTTGCACCCCTGGGTAAAGACGGCCCTGGTGCCTGTTTCCACTTAGCTTCCAAACCTCAGTCACTCTGCTTGCACCTAACGTGACTCACTTCCTGCCACTACTTCCACAGAATTCACCTTATTTGCCAACATTTTATGGGCTGACCCTTCCCCATAGAACAATCAAAATGTTTATTCCCATAACATCACAAGTCATCCAGTAGGTGGAGGTCTGCAAGAGGCAGGTAGGAAACATTCACAGTATCTATACAGGATTTCAATATGATACCCTTTTTTTGCAAAACTAAAAACCAACAACAACTCATTGTGTGATGACAATTGAAACTCTGTTATTGCTGGTCTGTAACAGAGTTAAGGTTCTTCAGAACATGGCTGTTGAGTTCAGCTGAAACCCCCTGTGCGAATGTCAGTTATTGAGTGGTTAGTTGTGGTGGGAAATGTTGCTAAATGTTTCAGATTTCTGAGTGAAGTATTTCAGTATCTGAGAAAATTCTTCCGGGTGAAATTTCACCCCTACACAAATGTTGCAAAATGGAATTTATAGTAATCGTTTATCAAAATCTGGAGCACTAAAAGAAACTATTTTACCCATACAAATTAATAAGCACCAATATTGTTTTGCCATTTGAAACAATCTAAACCCAGTGCTTGACTACTCAAAAACTTGCATTATCAACCAATGTTAAAGTGAGATAAACAAGCAGGCTATGGTAGACAGGAGACTGCAAATCAAGTAAAGCTGCAATCCTGTGCATAGTTACCTGGGAGATGGGATAGGAGTTAAATTCAATTCAGTTCAAATGTAAAGCCAAATTTATCAAATTCACACTTGCCAAAACAATGAGAACTGAAACAAAGCCATCCTTTGCATTTTGCACTTATACTGAATTTTGTGGTGCAGTGACAGATCCACGAATGTTAACAGAGAGTGAGAGCAAAAGCCTCACTTGATACTACTAGCCTTTCATTCTCTCTTTTGATCTGTTAAATACTTTCAGGAAATACAGTGAAAAGCCAACTTTGTCAGCTCTCACTGGGCTGTTCCCAGATGTTTTAGATGGAGAGAGGTCGTGGAACATGATACTTCATAAATACTGCACAGTGTATCTCATCACCGTATCTGTGACCTCTGCATCTTGGAAGCATAACTTGGAGCTTGGTTTTAAAAAAGCATCTACTTCTAGCAGCCGTTTATGCTCTCGAATTCCTATTCTGCCTTGCACATCATCAGGATTCCCAGACACGTTATAACTGCTTCTGTGAGGTTACTGGATACTGACATTTATCAGTGGAATATTTTGCCCCCAAGTATGCAAAGGGTATACTTGAAATCAGACTTATAAACCATGGTTGGCTAGCTACACAGGCGACACTTAAAACATCCAAATATAACACACTCATAAACCAAACTGGCAATTTCCAGTGTTTGTTGGTGCTTTCTTCAAACCCAGGTATAGTAAACTCACACTTTATGCAGGAGTTACATTCTAGGGATGATGCTTAAACCCAAAATTGTGTGTAATCAAAACACATTGTGGGTGTGATTGCCAATGTCTTTTTTTTTCTGGACGCCTGGCCCCTTTCCACCCCCTTTTTAATAAAAAAAAAAATATTATTTTGCCAAGTGCATGAAGTTGAATGTACACAAGTTAAATGGCTGTAAGTTGTAGGCTTACTGCCTACTCATGTACACTGGTATATGCGAAGAAGGAACAAGTGTGCATTTTGCCAGAGAGAAAGAGTCATTGAGAAACCAAAATTGGTACACTCAGCACAACAGACAGTTGCACAACCTTCATTTAGGACAATGTCTACAGGTGTACATGTACATCATTGAAGGTAAAATGCAACCAGACCGTAGCTTTCATTCTGACATGAACTCCATTCATGCAAATGGCCTGACCAAACTGTAACGACTTTGCTATGAGATTGAAAGATCTGCACTACCCTGTTCACAAAGATTTCCTCATTTGATTCAACATAACGAACAACTTTTGCACATTCTTCCCTTTACAAGAGGGCTCGGTGAACTTTTTGAAGCCTGAATCACATTCCCATCTGGGCAACCTGATGGGAGCCACATGCCAGTGGGGCAAACAACATGACTCTTACCACTGCACATTCCAGCTATACAGAAGCCAAATATTTCACCCGCACACATCTCTCCGTTCTCCATCCAGGCCAGCAAGAGCCATTATTAAGGACACATTCCAGCCAGGCAAAAGCACATAGAATCACAGAATTGAGCTGGAAGGAACCACAAGTAGTAATAATAATAATAATAATAATAATAATAATAGTTTATTATTTATACCCCGCCCATCTGGCTGGGCTTCCCCAGCCACTATGGGCGGCTTCCAACAAAATATTAAAATACAGTAATGCATCAAACATTAAAAGCTTCCCTAAGCAGGGCTGGCTTCAGATGTCTTCTAAAAGTCTGGTAGTTGTTCTTCTCTTTGACATCTGGTGGGAGGGCATTCCACAGGGTGGGTGCCACTACCAAGAAGGCCCTCTGCCTGGTTCCCTGTAACTTGGCTTCTCGCAGTGAGGGAACTGCCAGAAGGCCCTCGGCGCTGGACCTCAGTGTCCAGGTAGAACGATGGGGGTGGAGACGCTCCTTCAGATATACTGAACCGAGGCCATTTAGGGCTTTAAAGGTCAGCACCAACACTTTGAATTGTGCTTGGAAACGTACTGGGAGCCAATGTAGGTCTTTCAAGACCGGTGTTATATGGTCTCGGCAGCTGCTCCCAGTCACCAGTCTAGCTGCCGCATTCTGGATTAGTTGTTGTTTCCGGGTCACCTTCAAAGGTAGCCCCACACAGAGCACATTGCAGTAGTCCAAGCGAGAGGGTTATCTTGTTCAACCCCCTGCAATGCAGGAATCTTTGGCCCAACATAGGGCTTGAACCCACAACCCTGAGATTAAGGGTCTCATGCTGTACCAGCTGAGCCATCTCAGCTGACACATTCAGGGTGTGTAGTAGGGCCAGGGAGGGATGGGGTCTGGGGAAGGGTGTAGCCTAGGGAGGGTTTTCAAGGGCTGGATATAGAGTTCTGGAGAACTGCTGCATTTGGCCTTCAGGACACATATGCATCCGATGCTCACCAAAATGAAAGAGTGTGGATAGTCTGAACATGCAGAACCACCTTCTGTGTATCTGAGCATGTCATAGGTTCAGCCATATCCCATAATTTGGCCAAAGAAGACTCCTAGAGAGGCATACAGAGATCTGAAACAGTATTTTGAATGCAGTGGATAAACCAGGAAACTAACTTGATAGTCCTGCACATTTGAATCACCTAGGATATTAACGTAACATTTGGATAATCAGAAGCTCAGATAGTGCAGCAGTACGGGGGGGGGGGGAATCATCTCTGCAGCTTTGTGTAAAGATGGAGTTTTTTTGGTGGAATACACAGGAAATGTAATGAGACCTAGATAATCAAAATACACCCATTGTTCAGAATCCAACACATAAATGAGCACATTTATGGCTCACCGTTATCAATCATCAAGAAAAGCTGCCCAGTAATAATGGATATTAATTTATTTGTTTCGGGCTTTTTAAAAACCTTGCTCTCTTCAGCTGAAAACAGTTCCCAGTGCAGCTTACATAAGGTTGATAACAAACAAGTCAAGTCCTTGCCTGCAGGCTTACAGTCTGAAAGACATGATACGGGGGATGGGGCGCGAAAATGATATCCACAGACCACAAAAAACTAATTCCTTACTCTGACCCTGAGGGTTTAGAAGAACCACTTGCCACATAGTCATCACAAAACATCCCACATGGCAGGCTTCTGTCCAGCTTACCAAGTTTTCCATGGGTGTCTGGTAGCCAAAGGCTGCGGAAGATCATCTCCCTATTGGACTGTGTTTGTGGTTTATAGCAAAAAGGGGAAATAAAAACTATACTTTTTTTGTTTAATGGTTAGGAAACAGCAGACTCAAAAACCAAGAAGTCCAATGCTTGCCAAAAGTATTTGGCACCATCTGCACTATACATTTAAAGCAGTATCATACCACTTTAAACAGCCATGCCTTCTCCCAAAGACTCATGGGAATTGTAGTTTGTTGTGGGTTCTGAGAGTTGTTAAAAGACCCCTATCCCTCTCAGAGAGCTACGATTCTCAGTCCCTCATCCCAGAAAACTCTGGTGGGTTTAGGAGGAATAGCAAAGAGGCAATTGCCACTGCTTCCAGCAGCTGTCACCTGAGGTGATTGCCTCACTTTGCCTATTGGTAGGACCAGCCCTAGATTATTATTTGGATTATTTGGATGATGATGATGGTAACTACTACTACTGCTGCTACTACTACTACTACTACTACTACTATCGCTATCATCCAGACCTTCATCTGAAGATCACAGGGCAGTTCACAACATAAAAATACAAAATGAGAACACAAAATACATAATAAAACAAGAATAAAAACAAGCCAATAACCCACAAACACGTTTTAAAAAGCCATATATTGTTAATCAGTCAAAGGCATAATTATAGAGAAATGTTTTCGCCTGGCACCAAAGATATGTAATGAAGGTGCCAGGGAGCCTCCCTGGGGAGAGCATTCGACAAGTGGGGAGCCACCACCGAAAAGGTCTGTTCCTGTGTTGCGACCCTACAGACCTCTCATGGAGGAGGCACACAAAAAAGGGCCTCACATGTTGATCGCAGGATCTGGATCGGTTCATATGGGGAGAGGTGGCCCTTGAGGTATTGTGGTCCTGAACCTTTTAAGGCTTCATAGGTCAAAGCCAGCACTTTGAATTGGGCCTGGATTTGTGAGTCAAAAGGAGACCATCAGAGTCAGGTCAAGGCGGGTCTTCCTCAGATGCGAGTTACTCAGACTAGGAGCAAGCATAGGATAGGATGCAGCAACACATAACTCAAATGTTAGCACAATGCACATAGCAGCCTCTCCAGAAGTGCTTAGTGATTGGGACAGCTCCTTCGAGAAGAGGCAGTCCTTTAGCTATCCTGGCCTCAAGCCTTTATTTTTCCCCACATACACAAGATACTTAGGGGTGGTCATGCAATAGGTGACACCCTAATCCCCACCACCATCACCCCGGTAGGAGTAAGGGTGTGTTTGCTTTGCAGCTTAAGATTCATTTATTACATTTGAATCCTCCATTCCACAAAGTGCAGGGAATAGTGCTATCCCATTTGATCCCCACCAATTGTGGTAAGGTAGAAGAAAAGGAAAGTGAGCTAACGTAAATTTCAGAGGAGTAAACTGGGTTGGTCTATTGAAGCTGGCCAAGAGTTTGAATGCGTCCAGTCCAAATCCCATTATTCTGTCCACTCCATGTACTATAGGGAATGCAGATGCTGCAATAATGACAGGGAACGATATAAGGGACAAGGCAACACCGTCCTTTGCTTATTTAAAAGCAGGTTAGCAGCCAATAAACCACAACAGATGTGCATTTGTTCCATTGATTAGTAGTGTTTGTGCGGGGCAAAATGTCCTAAGCCATAGATTTATGAACCTAACAATGTTTTCCAGTCACACCCTGGACATTATGCATCTGCCTGCCCGGCACAAGCCATTCCTTTTGTCATGTGTGTTTGTTTTAAAATGCTGGTAGGAAACTCAAGGCATCTTGATTATTAAACTGCAGAGACTTGGCATTTGCTACAATACAGTCACAGCTAATTGCCTGAGACTATTTACATCCATCAGAGCAATGTTTTATGGCTTTCGGACTCAGTGTAAAATGAATAAATAACATCGCTCCAATCACTATTTGGCTTTATTACAGGAGATGCGGCGCATAATCTGAAAATAATGTGAGGACTAAAGTACCATCAGACAATGGACATCTGTCAAGCTACAGGTTCGCTTGATAGTTCCCAATCTGGGCCATTCATAAGCCTCTCCTGCCCGACTAGTACTATAGCAAATGATCTCTTTGTTTTTTAACCTCTTTAAATGCAACTTTGACTCCTCCTTCCTCCCTTTATAAATACTGATATATATTTTTTCCAGATGTGGGAAGGACAGAATGTTTGCTCAGACTAATCACAAATTGTGTTGCATGATATTTGCACAGCTATCCTCAAACTACAATTTACTGTATTTTAAATAGCAATTGATCCTTGTAAATAGTAATTGTAGATGTTGTTTATTTCATTTCTTTATTTTGTCAAAATGCTCCTTGTTCAAACTCCAAGTGCTTGTGTCCAACAATGTTTGAAAGCAAACATTGTTATTTTTTAAAAAAACCTTGCTTTTGGGAAGAGCCAGAGTATTGTCTTCCATAAATGTGTCCGATCAGCACTGGGGAGATCTAAGCACAAACGCCTCACTCCAGCATGAAGGTCCCTGGGTCCCTAACCGTGGACCTAATCACTATTAACCTCCCTCACAGGGTGGTTGTTGTGAAGATTGATGTCTTGAACTCCTTAGGGCAAAAGTGGTTGAACAATCAATCCCCTTTCCCAAGGAACTCTGGGAAATGTAGGTCCGTGTGGGAAATAGGGATCTCCAAACAACCCTCAGCACTCTGCAACTTCCCAGAATTCTCTGTGGAAACCATTTTGGCTTAAAATGGCGTCATGGTGGGAATGTAGCCTGGAAACCTGATCTTGTTTCAACACTGGCAACAAGAAATCTTCCTCCCCTGCACCTGAAGGTACGAGAGATGGGGGAGAAGTTCTATTAACGTTTAAAGGTGAATTTATTTAATTCACAAACTGAAATATGGCTCCCCTTTGAAATTTGCACTTCTCTGAATGTTGCAATGCCCTTTCCCAGCAAAGTTACATGTGCAAAAAATACATATGTTAGGGCAAAGTGTGCACAGAAATGCATATATTAGGGGAAATATCATACAAAATGCATTGTATTAAAGAAAATTTGTATGCATGTTAGGGGAAATTGAATGCAAAAATATGTGTACAGTGGTACCTCAGGTTACATACGCTTCAGGTTACAGACTCCACTAACCCAGAAATAGTACCTCGGCTTAAGAACTTTGCTTCAGGATGAGAACAGAAATCGTGCTCCGGTGGTGCGGCAGCAGCAGGAGGCCCCATTAGCTAAAGTGGTGCTTCAGGTTAAGAACAGTTTCAGGTTAAGAACGGACCTCCGAAACGAATTAAGTACTTAACCCAAGGTACCACTGTATTATGAGAAATGTGCACTACAGTGCCGAATAATTTTCATGCAATATTTTTTTTAAGCAAACTGATATGGGAAATTGAACTTAAAATAAGAAAAAAAAAATGAGAAAGAGAAGTGAAATTGACATTTTGCCCATCTCTACGTGGCACACACATCTCTGCTGCTAGAGGTGGCAGTTCATAGTAGGGTTCGCCCCTCGGGGAAGTTTAAATGAATACCATTCCCCCCTTCACTCCCTTCACCCCTAGTTAATATACTTTCATAGAATCCCCAGAAAAATTAGAAACTGCTGTGTTCTTTCATAGGGTTCTGATCCTTATCAAACCCAGACAGCCAGCCAAGAGAAGTTTGCAAACTCTCAGTTGTTGGAATGATTAATTCTTCTTCAATGTTTCTACACTTCATAGGAAGCATAGGCAAACTCGGCCCTCCAGATGTTTTGAGACTACAATTCCCATCACCCATGGCCACTGGTCCTGTTAGCCAGGGATGATGGGAGTTGTAGTCCCAAAACATCTGGAGGGCCGAGTTTGCCTATGCCTGCTTTATAGTGTACCTGAATCCTTTCCAGAAACAGAGTTTTATTTTGCTCCTCTCTTGATTAGAGCAGTCAGCTCAACAAGTGATATTTGAAACATTCATAACAGAGGATATTTGTCTTGTCTGTTTATAATCCACTATAAATACAGAGCAGGGCTATCAAGAGGAGATAAAATATTATTTCCCTTATTTCATAGAGAGAATAATAGCAGCACACAAGTACTAGGCCTGAGATATTTATTTTGAAGAGAGTAAATAGTGATTATTACTGGCTTGTTTTACAAGA